AAATCTAAAGGATATGCCGGTGCTATGGTTTGGGCTATTGATATGGATGATTTTCACGGAATTTGTGGGGAAAAAGATGCATTAATAAGAAAAATTTCCTCTATTATAAGAAACTATCAAGTTCCCAAACCCGTCATTAATACTACACCAAGAGTAAGTAATTACAATTTGTTACTATTACAAAAAATGGAGATTAAATGAAAGTTATTACCAGCCTGAATGGGATAAACCTCCAAGTACAACCTCTATGATTGAAGACAACACTTCTCCTGCAGCTCCGGTGGGAAATAAACTAACAAGTTCAACTAATTTTAATGATAAATTAACGACCTTGCCCAATGAAATTCATAAATCAACGATTGGGAGTGCTCAGTCTGAAAAAAATAATATACAATGTAACAGTTTTTATGATTACTTACCATCTGAGAATTGTAATTCGGTAAGAATTGCTAAGTTTCTGCTATTTTGAGTTAACTTTGCTATGTACTATCTCATTTGTTCTTCATTCTAGTACTATCGTTGCATTTACGGAAAGCCTCTCAAGTTTCAATGTCATGATAAGTTGATTTACAACCCTAAAAAGTTAAGGTGCGAGCAATCAATGAATGTCAATCCCGTAGATTGCAGAGATTAATAAGATGTCGAAGACGATTTTTTCATACCTATCAAAAAACTACTGCCCAGAAAACAAAAACAGTCAATTTCATTAGACATTGATATAAACGTTAATATTACCTCTAGAAAAAATCACAATTGGATGACATATAAAATATGCATAAAATTACTTTTATGCTGTAACAACTGTTTCAAGGATAAAGTTTAAACATTTTCATTGGATTATCTTGATAAAATATCCACATGCTTGTCGCTTGACAACTGAAGTAACAAAAATTAGTACCCCTTAATTCAGATCATATTTCCATCATTTATCCTTTGGATTTTTCTTAAATTTTATAATAAATATGTCTGAATATTAATCACGTTCATACAATGACCTGCTAGTATCCGACGACTTTTGAATTGATTCCAGCTATTAGAGGTTTTTAAATACAAAACTAATTCTTGAAAGAAAATAATTTGTAAATGTTAGTGTAACGTAAATATTGAAATAAAGTCAAGCTTTCTACACTCACTATATGCCAGACTGACACTTAATTAATGCAATACTTTCTCGATTATCAGTTAACAAGGAGAATGTTATTTATACACTGTAAAAAGAGCGGTGTTAAAAATGGACTTATTTTAACACCGCGCGGTGTTTAAATAAAATAACACCGGCGTAACTTTTCCGGTGTTAAAATACCGGTGTTAAATCGGTGTAAAACGGAGTAATACCAGTATAAAAGACGAGTAACCATTCTATTTAAAATATCAAGATTATAAAATCTATAAAACGTAATAAAATTGAGTTTTTGAATTAAAAAAATTAATAGAAAATATATTAAAGTAGTATTCATTACACTGGCCCACGAAAAAAAAAGTGGTCTGTACTTTTAACCAGACCTTACTTTATGTATTTTGACGCGCTAAATCCGAATCTGAAGTCAGTTTTGCCCGTATACCCTCAAAATTATGAGTAAAATGCAGAAAAAAAAGCAAAAAATTGCGAAAAACTGTAGTCACAGCGATGAATAAATATTTTTGAACCCAGATCAAGTATGATTTTCATGTACGTCAATTCACTGAATCTAAATCTAAACGTTAAGTAGCCCCTTGATCCATCAAAGTTTGAAAAAATTGCAAAAAACTGAAAAAAGACAAGAAATCATGAAAAATCGAAATTATCGAGATGAAAAAAATTTTTTGGATTCAGATTGAGTATGATTTTTATGTACTTTGTTCCACTGAATTTGAATCTGAAGTTTTCTTGTCCTATTGACGTTATAAAATTTAAAAAAAAATCGAGAAAATTGCATTAAATATGAGAAAAAATCTATTAATCACGATTGTTAATGATTCAGGTGCATTTTAATGTATGGAATATGATC